TCTTGTAGATAGCTATCGCTTCCACCTGTGTTTTAAACTGCAGCTTAAATTGTTGTCAGCTATTCTCCCTTTTCCTTTAGGGCCCAACTCTGATAAAGATGGGATGCAGCATACTGTTACTAAGCACCGGGGAATAATTACCTTGTACAGACATCAGAAAGCTGCTTTTGCTATCACAAGTCGACGAGGTCCTACGCCAAAAGCCCCAAAAGCCCCAATTGCAGATCTCCCCACTGGCAGTGGTGGAAGCATTCCTACGGAATTTGATGAGGTAAATTTCAAAAACTCGTATCTACAGCTTCACATCTACCTCTCCTTTCCATGACTTTGAATTCACTGAAGTTGATAGCGTTATAATAGGAATGTTCACAATCTTTTTCTGAGAGCACTGAATTGATGTGAAATATTGTGAATGCTTATTGATGATGTTTTAGATCTTCAGTGTTGTCATTAAGAAACTTAGTAACTCCTGAAATATTTTACATTTAGTACAGAATATCTCACTATAAATCCGTGCAAATGGATTTCAACAAACTGTTACCCATTTTAGTGTTAGTCATTTTGATGCACAATGAATGCTCCAAAGCACTAAAAACAGTATGACTGGCTTTAGTATGTGTGTGGGACTTCCACACTTGATATGTTAAATTTTTTTGTTACAGTTTTATTAATATGAAACTTCAGCATGTTTTAATAGTATTCTGGTCAGGACTGAGACATTGGACAATGTTGTGGATTTTGTTCTTAAAGTGAATTTTATCTATTATACTTTGTGAGGAGAAGGGGAGCAAGAGAAAGGGCTTAATAACAGGTCACATACTGCTTTTGGGAAGTCTTGCTAGCCTGTTACTGTTCCTGAGGTCCTTATTTTGTCCCTATACCTGAGGTTCTGGAACTGGTACCAGTTGGAAAACCTCTTGCTGAAATGGGCCTGTGTTCACAAAAGCCAAATCCTGAAATTTATAGGATTAAAATGATCTGCTAGAAATGACTTTCATTTTTTACTTGTATAAAGAACAAGTAACTTGAGGGTGGGAGGGAAGAGCAGCAAATATGTTGTAGGTACTATAAACAATCAGAATTGAAAGTCGTTGTTGTTCTTAAATGTATCTCTCCTCAGTACTTTGTTAAATTGTTTAATTCTAGGCTCAGAAACCTTATGTTGTACAGAGAAGAGGAGCTGAATTTGCCTTATCTACTATAGCTAAACATTTTGGTGCTGAAATGGCAACGGGATTGCCACATCTCTGGGATGCTATGGTTGGTTCATTAAGGAACAACATTCACATAAATAATTTTGGTAATTGCACTCCTGATTTAAACTGGGGAGCTGGTAGGCTGGGGGCAGTATGTTGGTCTTAAACTGAACACTTTTTCTGTTTTTAACAGACCGAAAGTCCTTACTGGAAAAAGGAGATGCTCCTGCCCAGGAGCTAGTAAATTCTTTGCAGGTTTTTGAAACAACAGCAGCTTCAATGGACACTGAGCTACATCCTCTGGTAATCATATTCCAAAGCAGGTTTTGCTTGAAGCAGTTCAGTCTGTTCATTGCCACTGGTTTTAGGTTTTGTTTTGTAAGGCTTCTTTTTAGTTGTTTTTCTAGTTTTGCTCAGATGGTGTTTTTATCCACTTTGCTAGCCTGTCTGTTCTCCAGGTCCTGTATCGTAGTCTTGATAAACTGAAGACATAGCCTTCTGTCTTCAGCACTTAAGCTGTTAACATTTTTTTAAGCTGTTTTTACCCTATGTCCTATAGAATGTTAAACTCTATATTTGTTTATGCAGGTTGTAGAATAAATCACAAAAGGAAACACCTACCTATAATTTAGCCTCGACCTACCGTTAACTAGATTGAGATGTCCAAAGTTTGAGTTATATTTATACTATTGTGTTACACTGAAATCAGCGTCTCAGTTCTGCTTTATTCTAATTTCAGATTTCTTAAACCTGGAGAACAGACTCATACAATACCTCCTCTATTAAAGTACAGTTAAAAACATTGTTATGTTGTGTTACGTGGCTGGCTGAAATGGGTTGATTTGTAATAGATTGACATGGTGTGTGACATAGCTCAGTGGTTTGAGCAGCGGTGCTGACAACAATGACAACACTGAGGTCACGGGTTCAATTCCCGCTCGGTCCCCATGTGTTGCCTGGTCTAGTCGAGAGGTGGTGTCCCTGGCCATGACAGGGAGGTTGGACTAGATCATCTCTAAGGTCCCTTCCAGCCTAGGCCATTCTATGACATGTAGTTTGTGTGACCAGAGTGGGGGAGGCAAAACGGTAGTAATAAAGACTGCTACTTACTACCTGATGGCTGCATGATGGGCTGAAGGTGGTCAGAAATCCTTCCTGTTTGGGGAATGCAAAAATTCTGGAGACTTCAGTTTTGTCCCCAAGTAGATTGGATTTGATTATTATTTCTTTTTACTCACCACTCAACGTAAGACTTTACATCTTGCATGCAGTAGTAGGCTCTGGACAGACTATTTCTACTCAGCAGAGAGATGCTGGAGTTAGGATTTTCTGTGAAAGCATCAGCTGAATGTAAAATACTGGTTTAAAAAAAAACACAATAGAAAGTTAAGAAAGAAACAGAAGGTTATCATTATGCCTGCATCTAGGGGACTGATTAGCTCAGTCAGTTGAGTGTGCCGCTAACAACACTAAGGTTGCGGGTTCGATTCCCGTTCGGTCCCCACGTGTTGCCTGATCTAGTCAAGAGGTGGCATCCCTGGTGGCAGGGAGGCTGGATTAAAATGATCTCTAAGGTCCCTTCCAGCTTAGACCATCCTATGATTCTGTGATCTGAACACAACTTTCAGTACTGGCTTATCTGCAGTACTATATTTGAGAATAAATATAGTAGCACTAGTAGAGACATACAGAAGGGACAATAGGATGATAAAAATATGTGAAAAGGCTCCCATGCAGGGAATAAGTAGGCCGGAACTCTCCCTGGAAAGCATATGATGGGAAAGGATGAGTATAAGGAATGGCTGTAGAATTTTAAGCAGATGGAGAAGATTCATGTGGAACATATGGAATTACTTCTTAGCTATTTTAATAAAATACTGAAGTGATTTTGAGTGAATTTAGCATATGACATGGAAAGTTTTATATATGTATATACATATTTTATATATGTAAATACGTATGATACTGTGTCGATTGGTTTTGGGGGTGCTAATACTCTATATAAGTTTCAAAAATAAATCATAGAAAGTCAAAGAGGGTGGAATCTGTTCATCAAAGGTAACATTTAGGGACTTCCATGCTAGGAAAAACCTGACCACTGAAGATATCTGACATAAAAATGTATTGGTGCTGATGGAAAAAAAGACATGTATGTGTAGATGTACTCCCCTGGGAAGAAGTGAATTTCCTTCTGGGTATGTTTTTTTGTTACACAGCGTTAATAAGGCTGCCAACATGGGTAATTCAACTGCCTAAACATAAATGGGATAAGTCTAGAACACATATGCTAACTGGAAGGTATTATTTAATATATGTATCTGTATTTAAGCAAGATTTTTTTTTAATAACAAGTTCCAAGTACGTAGTACTGTATTTTTACAGTCCAAAACACTTCCTTAATTATCAAGGGTTTCTTTAATTTTTCATTTTGACTAAAACCATAAATATTTTGTTACTCTGAGTTTTAACTGTATCAGGGAGTAACACTTGTTCAAAGTTCAATTGTCGTCTTCTGAAACAATTTTTTCAGTTCTAAACAATTAGATCTTGGGAAAGAGCCATTTCAAGTGGTTTTGGGGAGGCAGTGAAGACTTTAAAGACTGTTTACTTCAAAAATAATTCAGTAATTGGTTTATAATTTGTATTAACCTTTTTCCTCTATCTCTTCTACTCAGTTAATACAGCATTTGCCTCATCTTTATATGTGCCTTCAACATCCCAGCACTGCAGTGAGACACATGGCTGCTCGTTGTGTGGGTGTTATGAGCAAAATAGCTACCATGGAAACAATGAATATCTTTCTAGAGAAAGTTCTGCCATGGTTGGGAGCAATAGATGACAACACCAAACAAGAAGGTGCAATTGAAGCACTTGCATGTATCCTTGCTCGAGTATTCAAGAATGTAGAAACTTAGGGGGCTCGTTAGCTCAGTCAGTTGAGGGTAGCGCTAACAGCGCTAAGGTCACAGGTTCGATTCCCGTTCAGTCCCCATGTGTTGCCTGATCTAGTCGAGAGGTGGCGTCCCTGGCGGCAGGGACGCTGGGTTAAAATGATCTCTAAGGTCCCTTCCAGCTTAGGCCATTCTATTATTCTTTGTAGTTGCATAATTTGGGGAAGAAAAACTGTTGTCTGAAAAAAAGGGGAGGAGGAATGAAATGCTATTTGCCTTCTATAGAGAAGAAATAGAAGCAACAGAATGAGAGTTTCTTCTATTTTATTTTTTGGATGAAGTTTTGGCAAAGGTAACTCAATTTCTCAGACCATGGAATTCAGTGGGCTAAATGTAACTGGGTAGATCAGACTTCCCCCACCCTTCCCATTGCTTTTTTAGCAAAAATCTTGTTTATCTGAATGTAATGTAATGACTTTTACCTATTGAGATTGGAATCTGCCAGGTATATGTTGACGTTGGATAATCTAGAACTGGTTAAAACTTATTTCCTTAATAACTGATCCAGGTGTAATGGAGCAACTGGATGTTGGCATTGTTCCATACATTGTTCTCCTAGTGGTTCCAGTTCTGGGTAGAATGAGTGATCAGACAAACAGCGTACGTTTTATGGCTACTCAGTGCTTTGCAACACTAATTAGACTAATGCCTCTTGAGGTAAGCTCAAGTTGTTAGTCTACTGAGAATGTGAACTGTCCTGTATCCACTTTTTCACCAACCACAAAGTCCAAGCTTATTAAACACTGAATAAGTAACTGGTTTTATAGATGTTGTTGTTACCAGATAATTGAAGATATGTCCTTTATAATGTAAAATTAGTAAAATTGTACCCTCTCTAGTAATTTTCTAAAAGTTAATTTTCTCTTTAAGAAACTCATTTCACCTGCGTACATGAAGTTAAAGTGTATAGTAGTTTATTTTCCATGCAATGCTGCTTTTGCTAGTTTTGGCTCAAAAGCCATAAGAGTTAAATGTCTGCTCACCCTAGGCCTGTGTGGGGGTATGTATTTGCTTGAGAGATGTGTAAAAAAGCAATACTGATTTCAGAAGAAAAAAATTAAATAGCAGTAATAGAAATAGTGTGGAGATAAGTACAGTTACTTATTCCTCCCTACACCTTTGGGCAAAATATTACATGTATTATGAACCAGTAGTGTTTAATCAGTACAGATTTGCTTCAGTTTTTCACTATGACTTGCTTAGTAACTTATTTTAACCACCAGATGGTAATAGAAGGCAGTTCAGAATTCATTTGCATGTTTCTGATGCAAAAAAAAATTGTCAGTGTAAATAGTTTTATCTCTTATTATCTCAACTTTTAATTTAGCATAATAGAACCTTAGAATCTGCTAACAAGCAATCTGCCTTAAATGGAGCACTTACTCTATGCTTGCACTGAAAAGCTGAAAAAGCGACTGAAGTAGAAATGAATTTTTTGGCATGCTGCCCTTCATTCCAATACCATTGGCACCTGTGCCTTTCTAAAGTGTCTAAATACAGTCCTATGGAATACATGTAGCTATTTTTTAAAAACTATTTTAATAGGTTTTAGTGAGCATCTCTTAAAAGCGTAGAATACTTGTTTCATTAATGGCTTACATATGCATGATCTGTTCATGTTTCTTTTCCATAAATACTCAAGAACTCCCTTAAGACTTCCCTTTCCAGTTAAGGAATTTCAGTATCAGATATTGAACTATATTATACATGCAAACTTAAAACTATGAAAACTTAAGAGTGAAGTAGATAAATAATGAGAGAAAATACTGGTACTGTTGGGAGACAGCTTTTTGTATGCTGGCAATTTGAAATGTTAGGCCAAGCAAGTAATTTGATAACTATAGAGGGTTTGGAGTCATCTCAGTGGAAGGAGTTAGGGGGTAGATTGACAGAGACTAGGGGAATACTTTATTAAGGAATCCTTTTTTGAGATAGAAATAACTATTATCAAGTTTTCCTGGATGAAGTTTCACTGATGCTTTGTGCAAAAAATCATGCAGTGGTGTTTTATGGATACGTGTTTACTTTTTTAAATGGAAAGACTTTTTAGGGTAGTCTCACGGATATTTCCCAAGACAAACTTTTAAAGTTTTCAGTAGCTATAATGGTATTATTAAAACAAACAAAAAATCCCAAACCCTTCGCGCCTTCAATTTCATGTCCCTGAAGCATGACTTAACAGTTCTGTAACAAAACAAAGAGTCCATCTAGTCTTTTGTCTTATTGCTGGCATTTTATATACTGCCTAAAATGTGAGACCTGACTGAATATAGCTGCTGGATAAGTAAATGTAGTCTGAATAAGTTTGGAGTTTCTAATCTGTATTTTTTGTGTTGGTTTTTAATTGTGAGGAATTTGAAACAATGGCAATAAATGAGTTGGGAAAACTTAAGCTGTGCTCAGTTTTCATTCAGCCATAAAAATGAAAATATGACTGAGAGGAGGATTGTAAAATAAATGGTTCAACTTAATCCATCCAGCTTTATTGATAAGCAATAATCCTGTAAAACAAATTAACTGGCATAGTTTTCACACTTCAGATGAGCAACTGCTCTTCCTACCTGTCCTTTTAAAAGAACAAGTGGGCTGTTGTCTGTCTGTGTGTGTATATGTACTTAAATACCTTATTGGAGCACTGAAATCTGCGTTAGTTTTCTCCCTTCCTTATTAACCATGTACACAGTGGTATTATTTGATAGAGTTTTTCTTCTCAGCCAGGAGCCGTCCCTGAAGTGCTTAGTAACTTGGGGTTTGAAGTAAAGCTAACGAAAGACGGAGATGGCCCAGAAAACTGGGATGACAGATGTTGTGACGGAAAATATCAGTGCCTCTTGAGCTGCTGTATATTCTTAGCAAGCAAGAATGTCTGGGCGTATTTGGTCCCCAGATAGCTTCTTTGGGCTTCTAGCCTAGTATGAAAAGTACCTAGGAAGCCAAGGTCTGCTGCTACAAACCTGGAGGGGTTTAGGTTTTTCCCTGTAGCTTTCAAGTGCTTAAATTCATCCTGTGGATTTCAGTATCACTTTAAATCTAGTTCTACTAATATCTGTAGGAGGAAAATCCATCTAACTTCAGATGGTAAATTGTCACTAAGGGGAAATGGATGTCAGAGGATTCTCTACCCAGCCAAATAAACTCTCTGATTAGAGGTAGAATAGCTCAGTCTTCATAAAATCTTACAAGTATAACTAGGATTTCCCCTCGTGTATTCAACTGTATCAAGACTTTTAGTGTGTCCTTTGGGGCAGAATTTGTCTTTGCATCCTACAACTCTGGATGAGTTGATCTGCAAGGTATCACAGAAGTGGAGCGCTGAGATTGCATTTATACAGTTGAGAAGACTATACATCTTTGCCATCTGTTTAAGATGTCTAAGCTAGTATGAGGTTTTATTTCTTATTGTCTGTGTGAGAATTAAGTACCATAGCCTTTAAACTACTGTTTTAAAAATACTATCCTAGGCTGGTATACCAGATCCACCAAATATGTCTGAAGAATTAATCCGAATGAAAGCTAAAGAACGTCACTTTCTGGAACAATTATTGGATGGAAAAAAACTGGAAAACTATAAAATTCCAGTACCAATCAAAGCAGAGCTCAGAAAATATCAGCAGGTAATCACTTAGTGCCTTTTTAAATTAAAAGTATAAGTTCCAGTCTGATACAATTTTATGGAAGCATAGGAGTTGTTTGGGTGCTGCATATTTTTTTGCTTGTGGGTTTTGGGGTTTTGTTTTGTTTTTAGATGTGCAGTGTGTATTTTGGACTCTTGGATAAAGAAGAACAAAAAGTAATGCATGTCATACTGTTTTTCTTGTAATGATTTTTTTTTTCTCCATTCTCTGGATTCTGCCACTTTTCTCAGGGAATGGTCTGTGCTTTGCTTAGGCTGATGGGCAGCTCACCAGTGCAAAACCAGACCTGTTTGGCTGCTTATATTTCTCCATTTATTCCCCTCTGCTTTGAATGCAGATGGTGGGGGAGACAAGCTTGTACTTGGCCAGTGATGGATGATAGAACATTCAGACATTTGAACTGAAGCTTAACTACTCAAAGGACAGTTTTTACTTCTGAAGCACTCTTTTTTATTATTATTTGTTTATTTATTTTATTTTATTTCAGGATGGAGTGAACTGGCTGGCATTTCTCAATAAATACAAACTTCATGGAATTCTTTGTGATGATATGGGCTTAGGAAAAACTCTACAATCCATTTGCATTCTTGCAGGTGATCATTGCCTCAGGTAAGCTTAAACAAATAACACTGGTGAACGGTCTAGTGCACAAGTCTTTATAAGAAGCACCTGAAAGAACTGGGGTTGTTTAGCCTGGAGAAAAGGAGGCTGAGGGGAGACCTTATCACTCTCTACAACTCCCTGAAAGGAGGTTGTAGAGAGGTGGAGATCAGTCTGTTCAAGTAATGCATGATAGGAGAAGATGAAATGGCCTCAAGTAGCACCAAGGGAAGTTTAGATTGGATTTTAAGAAGAATTTCTTTACTGAAGCGGTTATCAGGCATTGGAACGGGTATGTCCACCACTGGGCAGTGGTGGAGTCCCCATCCCTGAAGGTATTTAAGAGTCATGTAGACACAGTGCTTAGGATGTGGTTTAGCTGAGGACTTTGTCAGTGTTAGATTAATGGTTGGAGTCGATGGTTTTAAAGGTCTTTGCCAATCTGGGCAATTCTGTGATTCAATGACAGGTTTTATCTATGGTTATGACTCCAGACAGAGTCCTGAGCAACCAGTTGTAGGTGGCTCTGCTTGGGCAGGGGATTTGGACCAGATGATCTCCAGAGGTCCCTTCCAACCTCATTTATTTTGTGAACAACATTTTTTTTTTTTTTTTGAAACTTGTTTTAATATTCTTGAAGGGCTCAGGAATATGCAAGAACAAAACTGGTGGACAGTGTCCCTCTTCCCTCCTTGGTGGTGTGCCCTCCTACACTGACAGGACACTGGGTGGATGAAGTGGGCAAATTTTGCTCAAAAGAATATCTTAATCCTTTGCACTATACAGGACCTCCTACGGAGAGAGCAAGGTAATGTATTTTGCATCTATGACTTGAGTAAAGTATCACACACAGCATTTTGCAATTCACTTTACTGAAGCATAGTTCATGGGCGTGGTAAAACTTGTGGTACCTTTAAAGACTGAAATAATAACATACAGTTCACTAACAACAGACACTTTAGTTATGATCTCTTTCTTTCTTAAGATTACAACATCAGGTGAAAAGGCACAATCTCATAGTGGCTTCATATGATGTTGTGAGAAATGACATTGACTTCTTCAGGTAAGAATTGGTTTGTCTTCTGAGATTTTTACTGGCTTAAAATTTAAACGTTACTCAAGTCTGGTTGTTTTTTTTTTTTAGAAATATTAAGTTTAATTACTGCATTCTTGATGAAGGCCATGTAATAAAAAATGGAAAAACAAAGCTGTCAAAAGCAGTAAAACAACTGACTGCCAATTACAGGATAATTCTTTCTGGGACACCAATCCAGGTAACTGCTTTTTTTTTTTTTTTCCCCTAAGGAGCTGGGTATGTAGTAGAAAACAGAGGTCTGTTTTGCAGTCCATTTTACTGTGCTTTTTATCAGAGTTGTATTGTTCATGGTCTACATTTGTGTAAAAATCCTTTCAATGCTAAATGCTTGAAACTTGTTTTATAGGCAGTGTTAAATATGTATGGAAATGCCTCTAACTTGTAGTAATTAATTATTTGGAAAAATAATTTAACGGATGTTTCTTTTATGTTCAGAACAACGTCTTAGAGTTGTGGTCGTTGTTTGACTTCCTTATGCCAGGATTTTTGGGTACTGAACGCCAATTTGCAGCTCGTTACGGCAAACCAATACTTGCCAGCAGAGATGCCCGAAGCTCCAGTCGAGAACAAGAGGCTGGTAATGATCAAACACTAAATGTTGGTTTTCTTGTTTTCCTCCTTTAAATGAGAATTGCTAATGAAAAGAGAAAGCGTGGTCAGTTTCAACATGAGATTGGTGGGACTAAATGTTTTGAATTTTATTTTTTTTTCTAAAATATTGCTTCTGTTGCCTTCACTAGGGGTTCTTGCAATGGAAGCACTGCACCGCCAAGTTCTGCCGTTCCTGCTAAGGAGAATGAAAGAGGATGTACTGCAAGATCTTCCACCCAAAATTATTCAAGATTATTACTGTATCCTCAGTCCTCTACAGGTATGCTCAGGAAATGGCTGGAAGCTTAGGTTTTATTCTTAAAGACCACAGAGGAACCACATTTGTATTCCTGGGTCAACCTGATGTCAGCTCTGACATTCTCTGGGACCAGAGGACTAAAACATTTTTCTAGTACATCTTTAAAACTGAATGTCAGTCCAGTTGCAGTAGAGTATTTCTTTATCCTACTTGCTGGCATTGTTCTACAACATCCATGCATCTGTAGATTATTTTTTTAAGAATGCTTCTCAAGCTGAAAGAAAAAAAAATTGCAAGAGATTCCACTGTTGATGTTGATTTTAAGATACATATAAAATAGCCTTTCTTGATTTATGATAATTCAGACCTTTGTCACAGAACTAAAGTCTAAAAATGACTGTTCATTTTCTGTCAAGGCAAACACACTCATTCTCTTGTCTGGGGCCTGGTCTGCAGGTTCAGCTTTATGAAGACTTTGCCAAGTCTCGTGCCAAATGTGATATCGATGAAACTGTTTCTTCAATTTCACTGAGTGAAGAAACTGAAAAACCAAAGCTTAAAGCTACAGGTCATGTATTTCAGGTACAGTTTTCTTTAGTAATTTTTATGACCTAGTTCATTTATTTCTGGTAACTGTATTTCTGGGTTTAATACAAAATGAAAAATCAAAATAGGTAACTTAAATGTTTGGCCATGTGATGTAAGTAAAATATTTAGATTTTAGATCAGATTACCTGGAATGTGATGTGCAGCTATTATGCTGAAGTTATGGTTTTATGTCTTAAGTCACACAAAACTGTCTTAAATTTCGTAATGCGTTCTGCTCAACTGGTGTTCTGCTGGCTTGTAGATCTTGGATACTACTTTCAATTAAAAATTGATTACCAAAAGTGCAAAACCTCAAAACAAGAGGAACTAATTTTGATATAATTATTACACCACACAATTAAGATCTAAAAATATGAACAAAAAGTTTCCTTAAGGTTAGATCTGAATTAATGAAAATTCATGGTCTTTATAGAATTGCAGATTAAGTCTTGCCTACTTGGAAACAATAATTCCCAAAGGCTCTGCACAGCTCCCAAACTCACCTACTATGTCCTGCCCTTACATGAAGGTGTGGGGAAATGGTAGTCATTTCACCGGTCCTGCCACTGGAACCAAGCTCATTATGCACCTAAGAATTATTTGATATAGTTTGAAATAAAGTTTTATTAATATAAATGTATAACTTTGTTTTAATAAAAATACAAAGTCCAAATTGTGGAATGTGGCTGAGTATCCCCTATGCTTACATACAGTCAGTTTTGTTTGTCCTTTTTAACTATGTTGTTGCTAACCATTTCTTTGAACTTCATTTCCCAAATAATCAAAGGCATTGCAATACTTACGGAAGCTATGCAACCATCCAGCATTAGTGTTAACGACTCAACATCCAGAATATAAAAGAATTACAGAGCAACTTGCAGCTCATAATTCATCTCTTAGAGATATCCAACATGCACCTAAGCTTTCTGCTTTAAAACAAGTAAGTAACTTGGATGTTGTACCTTAAACTTCCTAAATGTGTCTCTTATCAATGTTAAAATTTAGAAAGTTTTGTTTAAGACTTCATCAATATGAAAACTGATCTTAAGGAAGTGGAATAGAGTACAAGGGCTTTCTTTACAGGTATGTACTATTTTTCCTGTTAATTCAAGAGGGAGGAACCTTACATTTATTACATTTCTTACTCCTCTCCCTCTTGTTACAGAAAAACTTTTTTCATATTTATTTTACAGGAGACTATTAGTTTGATAAAGTAAGATTGCATTACATAACTAAATTCTAAGTAAAGCAAAATGAAAAAAAGTACTATCTGTTGACTCTTAACTTTTTTGGTAGTTTGACAGTGAAGCCAAACTTTGCATTATGTCATTTTAGTGACTGTTATTTACAGACTTCCCTCTGTAGTTTGTTTTTCTTATTTTTACTTTTGATAGTTCATCAACATCAATATTTACCTGAGCTCTGCTGTAATTTTGATGGTATGCTTTAATGCTCTTTAAGCTGCTGCTAGACTGTGGCTTGGGGAATGGTGGATCTTCAGAAAGCGGTACAGAAGCTGTTGTGGCCCAGCACAGAGTACTTATCTTCTGTCAGCTTAAAAGCATGCTGGATATAGTGGAGCATGACCTTCTCAGACCTCAGCTACCTTCAGTTACTTATTTACGACTAGATGGCAGCATACCTGCTGGTCAGAGGCATTCCATTGTGTCACGGTAAGCATATCGCTTCATAACCAATCTGAGGCCAACTGTAATGAACTATATTATTTATATGATACAAGTTTGTTCTTTTGTCTGCTTCAGAGCAGATGAAGTTCACAAATTCATTATTTAAATAGAATTTACCATGCTTAACTTTTTTCATTCACAGGTTTAATAATGACCCATCCATAGATGTTCTTTTGCTCACCACTCATGTTGGTGGATTGGGACTTAACTTAACGGGGGCTGACACAGTAGTATTTGTGGAACATGACTGGAACCCAATGAGAGACCTGCAAGCCATGGATCGGGCACATCGCATTGGGCAGGTGATACACAATGTCCCATAAGTCTGTGTTTTGGTTTGCTTTTGTTTTAGGGTTTTTCTTGCTCCTTGCTGAACTCCTGCTGCTTTAGATTTGAATAAGGCTCTAGCATATAATAAAAGTGATGTCTGGATATCCACTAAGCTTCCATTCACACTGCTTTCTTGCAAATATGCCAGATGTTGAAGTGTGTAATTTCTTATCCTACCCCAACTTGGTGCGCCATCCCTTCTGAACTTCCTGAGCTACTGAGGAGAGGAATCACTCTTCAATAGAGGAATAGATGCAGCTGAGACAAGGAACTGAAGGGAAGCCCCAAAGGGTTGTTCTTTTCTGATGCCTGTACAGGGAGAGTGACTGCTGCTAGTCTCCCTCTACAGCTGGAAAAAGCAGTGAGTTGTTAACTTCCTGAGGACAGATGTGATTGCAGGTCATATGCCTCTATTATATGCTGGCATTGCCTCATTTTTTTTAATCTAGCATCAGTCAGACTTACTGCGTGTAATTACTGAAAGGTAACTCCAAGCTGAACTGCTTCCAGATTGTCCATGATGAACACCAAAAGGTTATGCTTTCTTGAATACCTATGAAAAACAATTTTTTAATTTTATTTTTTTTTTTTAGCTAAGTGTGCTGCGCTTTTTTTCTTTCAGAAACGTGTTGTTAATGTGTATCGCCTGATAACCAGGGGAACTCTGGAGGAGAAAATCATGGGTCTTCAGAAGTTCAAAATGAATATTGCAAATACAGTGATCAGCCAAGAAAATGCAAGCCTGCAGAGCATGGGAACAGAACAGCTTCTTGATCTGTTCACTCTTGACAAGGTAAAGAATGATTTTTACAACTACCTACTAAAACCAGAGTAAGCATAGGGAAAAACTTTGCTTTCAAGTGTTCATCTGATTAAATTTTACATTTCACATTGGAATGCTGAATAGTAGACAGCTCTCTGAAAATCAGGAGGAAGTAATATTTCCCCCAAAGAACCATCAGACTCAAAGAATTAGTAGATTCCTGAAAACATTTATCTTCATATAGATTTTTTTGTTTTGTTTTGTTTTTGTGAAGGATGGAAAAACTGAAAAAGCAGATACCTCTACCTCTTCTGGGAAAGCATCAATGAAATCAGTACTCGAAAACCTTGGAGAACTATGGGATCAAGAACAGTATGACACTGAATACAGTCTTGAAAACTTTATGCATTCATTAAAGTAAACATCATATATTCGTAATACAACTGCTGCTAGTTCACGTATTTTTTCTGCTGATATTCAGCAAACTTCAAAGCATATATAGTGAACCTTTAGCTTAATGTGTAAATAGAATTATCGAAAGAAGAATCTTCAGAAGACTGGCACTGAGTAGTGTCACCTGTTTCCCTGGGGAGTTACTCTGTTTTAAACATTTGCACTGTATAAAAACTTTAAACATAAACATTGTGAGGTGGTGTGAATTTTACTTGTTCTGAACAGCTGCAAATTCTTAGAATAAAACAAAGCCAGTTTTTATATAGGTTAGCAAGTGTTACTTCTGTTTGCAAAGTCTATCATTAATTTCCTTCTGTATCTATAATAGTTTTGTACAGTTGTTTCAGTGAGTATTTCAGGTTGTTCAGTGTACATTTTTCTTTTAAACACAACTTGCTTTTACGGTGTATTAAAAGACAATTTTCAACTTTACCTTTTCATTCAGATCATTTCAGGACATGTAACACCAGAGGCAAAGCCTAGAAGCCTTGGAAGTATTGAATAATTAAAGGGCGTTAGGTATGTGCACCCACCTTTGTATATTGAGTATGAATAGACTATGCTCTTCAGTCCTTTGACAACATCCTGAGAGAACAGCTGACTTGAACTTTTTAATGCAATGAGCTATATTAAATACAGGTAATGGCCTACTTGAGGCCATGTTTGCATCCTGTTAGCAGGGGTGTACTTTTTTAATTTATCTATAAGGCTAGAATATAGCCACTTTGAAAGATGCATGTATTCAGTATGTTTCAATCCTATATATTTTTTGTAACTAAAAAAAGAAATTAAATATACAGACATTTTCCAGAAGTAGATTTTACACTGTCTAGGATTCAAAAATCTGTGCTAAAGTGACTGTTTACTAAACTGCATGATTTAAAGCTTCTTAAAGGAATAGGGAGGACTTTTTTCTTTAGGAGAAAATATACATAGAAATACCTACATTCATTTTGAGGGAATCGAATAGTTGAAATTGTGTAACAAAGATAGTAAAGGATTTTAATAGCAGTGAGTGAGAATAATATGGCTGTATGTTATGCAGCTTTTATAAAAAAGGGAGGCAGTAGAAAAAGTGTGTTTCTAGATGTGCATATGTACCAGTATATGCACTTTTTATAAATATTAAATTATAGATAACTTACAGCAGTTGTCTGGATACATAGAATATATGTATAAATATAAAACCTAAGGTTTGTAGCTTGCTGTGTGCATAAGCATCAGAGCTTAAAAACCACCAGAGACCTCAACTATGTAAAATAAGATTGTTTTAAAACATTATATATAAATCAAGACTGTTCTGCAGCAGTGGAGACGAATTAATGTCACATTTTAGTAGTTATGAACTGCCATATTGTAACTAAATTAGCATTCCATGAAAATAAACAAAACTGGGAATATATAACTTGTATGTTGTGTATGTCCATGTTTAGGTTTTTTTCTGTAGAGAAAACTTTCACTAGAGCTGACTAGGTAAAAAAACTACATGTTTTCTGGAAATTACAGTTGGATTACTAGTCTTATATTCATGTCTACCTTCATATATAAAATATTTCTGTTGTACTTTCAACTGATAATCTAAGTGGTGGGAGAGACAAGATGGGGCTTGGTTTTCTGTTTGCAGAGAAATTATCATGCTGGAATACTGGGTACTTCAAGATAAATTTGCAGTAATCTGGTGACAGTGCCCAGAAATAACAAGATACTTGAATAAAGAAACCTCTTATTTAGTCATAAAACACTGCATATGTTTTTCTTCAAAAGTTGTTTTAGTTGCAGTCGTAAACAGTTTGGCTCCTGTTGGAAAAGAAATACACAGCAAAGTGCTGCTTTAAACTGGTTATTTATCATATTGAGGTTGCTATGCAACCATAATAATCTTAGTGATGGCTCTCCTGGGTATGACATCAAAAAGACTTCTGCACCTGGAAATTGGGAGGAAGCAGAACCTAGAATAATTGTTTCAAGATCATTAGATGTACTAACTCAAGTGTTATGTGAATTAACAGTTTGAAAATGGAAAGGAACAGGAATACTGCACAAAGTGTGCAAAAATTTTTAGTTACCTTGACCTCTTCTGTGCCTTCATTGCGGACCATTTACCAGGATCTGGTTTGTTAGTGCACTGTTGTTGGTGCACAAACTGGATTCACTAAACAGCAAAACTCAAACAAGAAATATGCTCGTGCAATACGTTTGACCTGTTTAATGTGGGTGTTCAGCTGGGCTGGATCAGAGCAGGGTCTGGGCTGAAATAGAGAAGTGGTTTTTTTACTTCTCGGCTGAAATAAAAATTTCAAAGATAGTGCAGAAATGTCAAGCTCTTAGCACCAACTATTTTGCTCTACAGCTCTGCCCCTACTGCCAGTGTATTACTTGCTAAAGAAGACACAGCCTAAACCTTGAATTGACTTCAGGTTCAGTCATTGTGGGCTCCTGAATGCTTTTAAAGGTTGGTTTGTTGCTTTTGTTTTGTTTTTTGATCTTGCTGAAGTCAACATTATACTGAAGATCCAAGGTATGCATACCTATTATTTAACATAGAATGGTCTGGGTTGGAAGGGATCTTCAGTTTAATTCAAATGAACTGAAGTTTAGTTTTTTGCTTTAGTGCTTTGTAGTAGATAAACAAAGATTACCAGACACATAACCTCAAAAAGAAAAAAATGAAGTTATGTGGGCTGAGGTATGTAGCCCATGGTAAAAAGACTTGTCGACTGACCAGAAAATGCTCTTGCTGCTGAGAGGTGCTGTGTTCTGGAACACTTTTTTTCATTTCCAAGAGAAAATGTGCCTTTTTGTTTTGCTTTTAATTAAAAAAACCCTCAACCTCCAAAACCAGTAACAGCCCTCTATTGACAAGAGTTAGATGGAGTCACCCGAGACATCTCATATTTAGCTTTTATTTCCATTGAAAAACCCAACTCTGCTTTATTGGTTCAGACGGTTGATTTTTATCTTTCCCAGTAAGTGTACTAGGCCCATTGGGATCTTGCTTTTGTAATGCTTAACTGCATTACAAAAACATACGAAATACAAAAACCATATGAAAACAGAGGAACTCTTAATGTTTGTCCTTTGCTTAACTAATTTTTATGAACTTCTTGTAGGCCCAGGGAACCAAATTTGCAAATTTACATCTCTGAGTTGTACCCTGCCACTGTTGCATGTGCATAAACGAGCACACATGACCATCAGCATTTCAAATGCTTAAATCTTCTGCCTCATTTATCAGTAGAGCTGTGCAAAAATATTTTTAATAGATTTTAGTACTATTTCAATTTGAATGAATTTTCAAGAAAGTGCAGTACATCTCATGAAATGCAATTTCAGTAAAATTAAGGCCTCTGTTAGCATTGGTGGAAGGTTTGAATCCTGAGTAGAAAAAGGTGTGGTAAAGGCTGTGCAAAATAAAAAAAAAAAATACTGATCTTAGTAAAGAAGCAAGATTGAGGGACTGACTCCAGGTAGGTAAGGTAGAAGGTACTTGCACAACAGAGCCACATTAAGTTCAACTTTTACCTAGAGCTTTTCAGGCACAAATGTCATAATACCACAGATTGAGATAGGGTGCTTTCTCTGCAAGAATAACCACCATCACACAATGAGGCCACTTGCTCAGTCCTTAATGAAGTCAGGAATGATGCCCATACCCTAATTAACCAATAAGTATACTAGCCACCAAGTTCAGGTTTGAATATGATGCTTCCAAGAAAAAGGAGTACCACTATAAAAAAAGACTTTTCAAATATTACTGGTGGAACTTTCAGGAGAAAGATCTAAGGTGCAATATGGAAGGACTGTATCAATTCTGATACATTTTTCTCGTATCAACTAAAGCTTATGCAGTTCAGTGATGCCAGTTCTCTCTCTGAATGCTAACACTGCCCTGCTAGCTGAGTGAAGTGCCACCCTCAACCATCAGCACTTTGAACCTGGCATTGCTCTGTAATTCTCAAGACTGGTGCACCACTGATCCCTCATTAAAATAAACTGGAGACTGGTTTTCAGAATCCAAAGCCTCTGTGCAGATGAACAGTCCAAGATGCTATGAAAAAATTAGCAGATCTACTGCTTACACAGAGTTAAGACTGAATTTATATTGACTAAAAAGCTGTCAATTATACACATTTTAGTATATAAATATGTGAGAGATTATACAAGCTCTATCGTTAAAGTAACCCAAATCTTGAATACTTTAAATGGCAGAGAGGAATTCCTGAAGAAACAAAGTACTTAATACCAAATGACCCTAGAGGAACTCAGACATTGATTTAGGATCTTTGTTAGGTTATCTTTCTCTTTCACAAGCCTTAAAAAGTCACATGCTCAAAACTTGTGCTGTTTTCTTAGCTCTGTCATGAGGATAGCTACGTCAATGTTGACTGTGTGTCATTAGTTTAGCAACTAATCAACAGCCATATGCTCTTACAGATGATGACCTGCAGTGTTTTCTTTTAAAGAAAAATTCAGAATATGATTTCTTAAGTTGTATAGGAAGATTCCAAATACTAAAGGAAAATGCTTACTGCTCAATTTCCCTGTTTAGATGAGGGAAGGAGGTCAATCCAGGGAGCAGGAACTCCAAGCTCGCAAATTCAGACTCAGGTACAAAAACTGCAGGAAATGTGGGAAAGGGTTAAGTGCAGAAATAGGAAGAAAGGAGTAATATGCTGCATCCTGCCAAAGGGCTGTTCCAGGAACGCAGTAAATTGAACTAATCTGCAGTTCAGTCAGAAGATCAGAAATAGCTGAGCTATCAGAACATGCTGGCCAGAGGCTCCAATACGCTCCAGTTCCAGGGGCCTTTACAGGGTGATGCTGTGTTGTTCGTGCCAAGTCTGTGCCTGCCAAAGATTTCCCATATGTCAGAATAATTACACTTCATAGTTTATGCAGGCTAGCTGCTTAGATACTCCATCGAGAAAACAGGAATACTTATCAGCATACTGCCAGCAAGTGAATTGAGTGGTTAGCCGTGATACGCTTTTTGCTACTGTTTCCATGTTATTTCTCTGTGAATAAATACTGTTCTCTCCAGATACACATTTATGTATTCTGACCCTGTTTCACATGACTCATGCTGCACTTACAGCGATTTAATTATCAATCACAACCTACCATCCTAGAAATAAAGACTTCAAGTACAAATCTGTAATGATAAGCCAAGGGAAGAGCTAATGCAGATGTTCAAATCTGACCGCTTTTGCAAACAGAGCTTGAAAAAAGTCAGTGGAATTGTACGTGATCTCTGTCATAGCCCGA